ACTCTGCCACAAACACTTGTTTGCTCTCGGTTCTCATGCACCGAACAACGCAGCATCGCTCAGCCACGTTGAGGTGTTGACCTACAGGAAAACCATCTACAGCAGTCTGATGCTCGCTGGCTGCAGCACGTCTTAGTGCAGAAACCTGTTTCTTGTGCAGCAGTGATCACTGTTGACCAGCCTTCCCTCACAAACGTTTCATATCACCTCCATCAGTCTTCAGTCTTCTGTTGTACCTCTAGCATCACTAACCTCCTCAACAACCCTCCTCTTCTCAGAACCAGGATTCTGCCAGATTCTCAGTCAGTTTCAGTGCAGATACCAGCAGATTGTCTCCTTCTGCAGCAGCTTTCACTCGTCAGCTGCTGCCTTCACAACCTCACAAAGCATCAGGTCACCAGCCCTCCACCACATCTGCTGCAGCTCAAATCAACATCTTAGCCCTGAAACACTGAAGCGCTGAGCTTGTTCTCTCTGCCGACGTCTCTGGATCCGGAGCTTCACGTCTCTGACCTGCTGGCCTCACCGACTCCCAGAATACTTCTCTTCATATCTATTGTTCTGTTGTATGGCTGCTCTCCATCTGCTGCCCTTTCCCCCACCTCCCCTCCTATCTCCACTCTCACCCAACCGGTCCAGGCAGATGGCCGTCCTCCCTGAGCCTGGTTCTGCCGGAGGTTTTTTCCTCCTTTGGGGGGTTTGGCTGCTCTGGACCACTGGTTCTCTGTTCAACTCTGTGAGGTCTGGACCTGAGATGACGTGATGTAAACTGATGTACAGATAGAATAGAACTGAACTGAAACACGCTCAGAACTCATCCAGAACCAGACTTGCTCATTTCCACATCAAACACCTTCAGATAGTTTCCACCCACGAATCATCTCACATCTCTCAGCAAGTGCTGAAGTCTTCGGTCTGCATTAGAAGGTCCAAGGTGGTGGACCGACTGCCGACCAAGGAAGTAAAGAAGTTCAAATTCCCAGGCCAGGAGAGATATGTAGCCCCTCCAGTGGGTTCTGGACGCCCTGGTGTCTCCTCCCAGGCAGACGGGCTCACAAAAGCGCCAAAGGAAGTCGTCCAGCAGCTCCTTGTGTGGGTTTCGGGTGATGGTCTTCACACTGTAGCCTCCTGAGTTCTCATAACTCCTTCAAAAAACTTCTCCAGCCATCTTCAGCAGTTTTGGAAATCCGGCCCATCGTCATCGTTACGAATGGTCCTGGTTCGCTCCGATAGCCTCGTCAACACTACTGACAGAAGCCAAAGCTTCTCTGTTGAGTCGAGCCTCTCATGCATGGTTAGCGCCCAGGTCCAGAACATCCAGCCTGCTGCAGCCCGACTGTTCATCAGACACTCGTAGCGAACATCAGATCTCACACACACACACACACACACACACACACACACACACACACACACACACACACACAGCAGGGCTTTGACATGCAGCAGAAATAAAAACTCGAAACAAATAGAAAACTTCAAACACACAAACAGCACGTTGGTAGAACCATGAGTACCTTTGTTCTTCATCCGAGACCACTCCTTCCTCTCCACCCTGAAACACAACAACACAGTGTTGGTGGACACACACACACACACACACACACACNAACATCTGTAAGGCGAGGAGACAAAATAACACAAATATGACACAAAATCTAAAAAATGAGACACTAAATGACAGACAGGAAGCCAAACCGTTGATTTCCTTCATGAAGTGATGACATCATCCGTTCAAGGACCAGCTGAAAGTTTTCAGTTTTCACAGTTTCTGGCTGATAAATGGTTTCATTCTTTATCAAAAAAGAAAATATGCCTTTCAAAAAGACAGCCACAGACTCGTGTTTAAAAGTTTGTAAAGACTGTAAAAATGTGAATGGTTAAGTATCTATTGTATGTAAATATCTGACACGTTGACTCCAGCTTTGTGTTTATTTTTACAATTTTCTAAAATAAATCACCAAAGACATGTTTTCTTTATTCTGGTCTCCATTATTCTGACGAGTCCTGCTGACAGAAGACGTCTCTGAGTTCTCTCTCCTTCTTCATGTGGTTCTGGTTCCACAGAGCTGCAGAACTTGATGTAGCAGATAAACATGAACCTTTTTAAGTGAAGGAGACACTGACCTTCGATCTGAGTGACGAGCTCGTAACTGTGAACGAATCCTTCTCGACCTGCCAGAAGAAAACACTTCTCTGTAAAACTCTGTTATTTGACAGTGAATTTTCAAAAAGTTTGGAAGAAAACGGAGGGGAAATTTAAAAAATCAAATGGAGAAAAAANCAGCACACAGTTACCTGCAGTGAGGACAGCACAGTAAAAAGACGAGTAAGACGTTCAAAGTAAGAAAACGTCTTCTCAGCGGGTTCAAGCAACACAGAACAACAGTGAACAAACATGAGTTTACGTTCAGGAAGAAACTGTCTGAGAGACAGTGAGCGGCAAAATGAAGCAGACGCAGAGCGTCGTCCAGACGTCGGCGTGGAGCAGCAGGACGCTACGAACCAACGGTCGGCCGCACAGCAACCTTCACCGTCACTGGACACGAGGTCCAGGGCTACAAGCAGGCGGTCCCACACATCATCATCATCATCATCATCAGGTTCTTCAGCCACTAAGGCCTACGCCAGAGCACAAGCAGCCAAGGCCCAACTAGCCTTTGCTGAAAAAGAGACCAACTTAATGAAGCAAAAGGCAGATTTAGATGCCAGCCTCCACATTCTACAATCTCAAAAAGCAGCGGCTGCAGCAGAAGCTGCTGCCTGCGGGGAGATAAGCGTGAGACCTTTTACTGGAGCTGAGCCTCTCCATACAGCGCAGGCCACCGGTGAGTCTGTCGCACAACACTGTGAGTTACTCTTTTCAGAAGCTTCTGTCAGGTCACAACAGCCCTCTGAAATGAGAGACAATCAGTCAGTTTTTCAGCTAACAGCTGAAACCCAGCATGTCCCTCCTCCAATAAAATCAAACATAAAACAAGAACAAGAAGAATCCAAGGGTCCAACAAATACCCAGCTGTTAAACCCCCTGGCTCACATCGTTCATCCTCCAAACAACAACCTGACTGAGTCGAATGGGGCACAAGATTTCGCCAAGTATCTCATCCGCAAAGAACTAGTCAGTGGTGGCTTGCTGCATTACGATGACAAGCCTGAAAACTACTGGGTGTGGAAAGCCTCGTTTGTTAGTGCGACTAAAGACTTGCGCCTGTCAGCTAGAGAGGAACTAGACCTGCTCACAAAGTGGTTAGGGCCAAAATCTTCAGAACAAGCTAAAAGGATTCGTGCAGTACACACCCTCAATCCCTCTGCAGGTGTGAAAATGATGTGGCAGCGCCTTGAGGAACGTTATGGCTCCTCCGAGGCCATTGAGGACGCACTCTTAAAAAAGGTAGACGACTTTCCAAGACTAACAAACAAAGACAGTGGTAAGCTAAGAGAACTTGGTGACATCCTTTTGGAGCTACAGTGTGCAAAAGCAGATGGTGCACTACCAGGTCTTGCGTATCTGGACACAGCTCAAGGGGTGAGACCAATAGTAGAAAAACTTCCCTTCAACCTACAGGAAAGGTGGACAACTGTGGGGACACAATACAAAGAAACTCATAGTGTGTCATTTCCTCCTTTTTCAGTTTTCGTGCAGTTTGTTCAGCAGCAGGCTAAAATGAGGAATGATCCAAGCTTCACTACATCCAGTTGTATTGGTCAAGCGTCTGCGTGCACAGAAAAACCCACACCGTACAATCACAGGGCCACTGTGTCAGTACACAGACACTACAGACAAAACTCAAAGTGGTCCTGAGCAAAGGAAGATAGAGGAACCGGATCGACAGCGCCCGATTCACAAAAAGCCACATCCGCTCAAAAAATGCAAGCTGTTCAGAGACAAACCCATCGAGGAACGACAAGCTTTTCTTAAAGAGCATCACATTTGCTACAGGTGTTGTGGTTCAGTCCAGCATATTGCAAAAGACTGTAAAGTGGCAGTTAAATGTGTTGAGTGTAACAGCCCCAAGCACATATCAGCACTTCATCCAGGTCCTACTCCCGTCCCTAAGAGTGCCACATCAGAAAGTGACGAACAAAACAGAAGTGAAGAGCAAACTGAGAGCTCTCCTTCTGTCATCTCCAAGTGCACAGAGATATGTGGTCAAAGTAATAGCTCACGCTCTTGCTCTAAGATCTGTTTAGCCAAAGTCTGTCCAGAAGGTCAGAAAGACGGAGCAATTAACATGTATGCAGTGATTGATGAACAAAGCAATAGGTCTCTGGCTAAGACGGAGTTCTTTAACCTGTTTGCAATCAAAGCCACGCCTGCCTCAAACACACTGAAGACCTGTTCAGGAAAAGCTGAAACTGCAGGCAGGAGAGTCATGAATGTCTTCATACAATCCATGGACGGAAAAACAGATATCCAGCTACCTCCCTTGATTGAATGCGACTCAGTGCCGGATGACAGAACTGAAATACCCTCACCCGAGATTGCTCAGCATCATCCCCATCTGCACCCAATTGCAAACAAAATGCAACCTGTCGACCACCACGCTCCAATCCTTTTACTCCTGGGAAGGGACATCCTCAGGGT